ACTGATGATGAATTCGAATATAAACAGCAAATGACTTCGAAATTAAACAAAAATTAACATTTTAAAAACGAAAAAAAAAACCCGAAAGCATGTAAATAAATTCAAGAGGAAAATTACCTTGAGATGATGGAGAAGGTTAAAGGAATGATTGTAGGACTGAAGGAAAGGAGTGAAGGAGACACAAGTGAGGCAATGAGACAAGGAGAGAGGAAGAAAAACGGCTGTTTGCCTGTTTCAGAAGGAGAATGTGAGGGTTTTAGGGTTTTTCTCTTTTATTAGGTGGATTTTTGGGCTTGGGCTTAAGAGTTATTTTCGTTTTTTCTTGTTCGTTTGTTTGTTTTTTTCTTTTTTTTTTTTTTTTTTTTTTTTTTTTTTTTCTCGGGTTAGATGGGTCATTTTCGGGTTGAAAATTTCAACCTTAACCTAACCCATTTAATTATCAAGTCGGGTTCGTGTCGACCCATTTAAGTTTTCGGGTCAGAAATCTCAACCCAAACCCGCTATTTTCAGGTCGGGTTCGGGTCAGTTTTTGCCGGCCCTACTTTGAGTGTTATCCGCTTTAAATAAGTTAAAACCGATTAGTTATCGCATGAATAGGTTATATGGAACATGTGACATTGTATTATTTTTTAAAAACTAGTAAATAACTTTATAAGATAAATAAAAAAATTAACCGACTAAATAAGTTGTAGGTAAAATAACTCGTTTAAAGCAAATATCACTTAAAGTTTGTATTATTTAGAAATAATTAAAAGTTTGACTTGTTTTTAGCGGATCGCTCAAAGTTTGTATTATTTTTAACAATTTTTCCAATTTAATCATTAATCTATAAAGATTGAATTGCAAAATTTATCAGAAGTTGATATTTTGAAACTATATATTGAGACGAATCTTACAAAACTCCACATGACTATATTTTCCATTATGTATAAATGACAAGATACAATCAAAAGGGATTAGGTGAATAGTGCTAAATCCAAAATGTGTCAACTATGTGTAAATCACAAAGTATTATTGATCTTTTGTACCGATTTGTCCTTATTCTGTTCGCAGATTATTTTCAAATTGAACTTTAATTTTATTGGATGTACAGATTGTCTAATCTCTGTATGTAGTTTGTTTAATATTTTTGAAGTATACTTTAAATCTTACGTGTTCGTGTTCAAATACATGAAAAGCAAATGACTTTTCAGAATTGAATGCTAATTATGTCATTGTTTCTGTCTGTTTAATGGTTTGTCTTGTTTTCTGTCAACTTGTATCCTCTCTCAACGCAAGCTTCTTGTGCCTTCCAGTCTTCCACCCTCCCTCTTTTTGGACGTGAGTCATTTGTCTAGGCGCACATGTTTCTATTTTACTCTTATCAGCTTCTTTCTCTTCTGCTTTCAGGTTTTTGTTACCAGTAAAGATGGCACTAAGATACCAATGTTCATAGTTTCAAGAAAGGGAATTGTTTTGGATGGTTCACACCCATGCTTATTATATGGTTATGGTGGATTTAACATTAGCATCACACCATCCTTTGGTGTCAGTCGCATTGTTCTCTTAAAAAATCTTGGTGCTATTTTTTGCATTGCTAATATCCGGGGTGGTGGTGAATATGGAGAAGAATGGCACAAGGCAGGATCCCTTGCAAAGAAGCAGAACTGCTTTGATGATTTCATTTCTGCTGCTGAGTTTCTTGTTTCTAATGGTTATACCCAGCCAAAAAAGTTGTGCATAGAAGGTGGAAGTAATGGTGGGCTTCTTGTCGGTGCTTGTATTAATCAGGTATCTGCTAGCACACCCCCCCCCCCTCTCTTTCCCCAAACAACACACACAGACCCTTTTTTTTTTTTTTTTTTTTGGGTATTTTCTTAATAATACTTTTTCAACTTCTCCCATGCTGTTGTTAACCCACTGTATTCTACTGTAATAATTGTGAATGTAGAGACCTGACATCTTTGGCTGTGCTCTGGCTCATGTTGGTGTCATGGACATGCTCCGATTTCACAAATTTACCATTGGTGAGTGAATATTGCTGTATTCCGTTATAAAAGTGGTTCTTTGTTACGATTGATACACTTTGCTGATACTTGAGCTATTTCCAGGTCATGCTTGGACATCAGATTATGGTTGCTCTGATAAAGAAGAGGAATTCCACTGGCTTATAAAGTAAGTAGTATCATGTCTTCAAGAGTGAGTGTCAACTGTCAAGCGTATAGATATAGTGCTCTGGTTTTGAAAATTTTCAAATGTACACAATACAAAATTATTATTTGAATAAAATTTTACATGAACTTTTAGGCTTTTCATGTGATTTATTCACTGAAAAATGTGGCAAGGTCTGTCCGACATGGCAAGCATGCAAGGTGATTCTGAGTGTAATACTGTATTAGCCATTAGGCATTTATTTTATTGGCAGAGTACTTAATATGAAGTATATTAATTCTTTAGGTGAGACAACGTTTTTTTTGGCATAGTACTTTGATTTCTTTTTGATAGATCTGCCATTTGTTAGTCCATGCAGTCGGTTAATGACCAGAAGGAGAAAATGATTGTTAATAGAAGCAGATGAGTGTGATGACATTTGGTGGTTCAGCCTATAGATGTCGTATTACAACTCAGATCCCATTCATCTATTTTTAGTTTCCTACACTGAGCAGAGCGCATTTTTGCTTACAGGTACTCACCTTTACACAATGTTAGGAGACCGTGGGAGCAATCATCCGATAAAACTGCACAGTACCCCTCTACCATGTTATTGACAGCTGATCATGATGATCGTGTGGTGCCTTTGCACTCGCTGAAGTTACTGGCTGTAAGTTCTCATGAACTATTACTTGCAACTATTATTACATGAATGTGAACATTAGTGCATTAACTTATTCACATTACCACTCTGCAAAGTCTGCGTGCTTTTTCTTATGGCCAAGTAAATGCACAACGCCTTTCCTTTCCTTGAAAGATTTTATTATATGTACTTGCAGACAATGCAGCATGTTCTTTGCACAAGCTTGGAAGATAGCCCTCAAAAGAACCCAATTATTGGTAGAATTGAGTGCAAGGCTGGTCATGGAGCAGGACGCCCAACACAAAAAATGGTTAGTATCATATAGTATGTTTTCATGTCAAATATATTGGGTATGACTTTATTGGCTAACCTATGATTTGTTACCTTTTGTAGATTGATGAGGCAGCAGATCGTTATGGCTTTATGGCTAAGATGGTAAATGCATCGTGGATTGATTAAAGAATTGCTACATGAAAATGGAATAATTCCGGGTCGAATCTTTTACTTTTTGATTCGTCTATCATGGATAGGAGGAAGACCTCTATTCTTTTGCAATGAAGCATTTATCTCACTTTCTATAGTCGTTCTTGGGGTCTTGGGTAGTAGATCATTTTATTCGATGATTAGCGTTGTTTAATGTAGTTGCTATTTAAGGTAGTGATTGAAGTTGAATAGCTTTGATTAATAAACACTTTATCTTGGAAGTCATAAAAGAAATCTTTTTTTAAAAAAATAAAATAAAATAAAACATTGCCAAACTAAAGATTCATGTCCATAAGATGTGAGTCCATGTGACTATGTTATATGCTAGCCGCCATAGCCCTACTACAACTCTCCTTTATTCGAGCTTGAGACTGGCAGTGAATGCCACAATGCGATACTCACAATTTTTAGCCTATCAATGTTTTATGATTTGTATTGTTTTTCTTTGTTAAATCTTTCTCAAACCTTATGTTTTCAACTTAAATGTTTTAACCACTCTTTCAAAACTTGGAAATTTTGCAAAAATCCACCTTTTATAAGCAATTTTTTTTGCAAGAAACCACCTTAAATTTTTTTTTTGCAATGACATACCTTAATCAAATTTTTTTTTGTAAATCAATACCTTTATGCCGGAAAAGACCTCATTTTCCGGCGTTGGCTACCCCAATCTACCCACGAAACCACCTCTCTCCCCAGCCCCACCCACAAAACCACCTCCCAAGCCCCACCCATAAACCACCCTTTTACGGTGTTGACCACCATAAACACACCCCCTCTTACGGCGTTGACCACCCTAAATACACCCCTTTAACGACGTTGACCACCCTAAACCCTCCTCCATAGCCCTAGCCACCCTTCTCCCCTCCACTGTTAGTTTCGTGGGTGCGAATGGCGTAGTCAACGCCGGAAAATAGGGTTTAACTCTACTTTCCGGCATAAAGGTATGATTTTGCAAAAAAAAAATTGATTAAGGTGTCTTTGCAAAAAAAAATTTATAAGGTAGTTTCTTGCAAAAAAAATGCTTATAAAAAAAGGTTTTTTGCAAAATTTTCTTAAAATTTTCTTGAATTTTATTCTTGATTTTCTTTTAAAACTCTCTAATTTTTCTTAAATGCTCTTTCGACTCACAATTTTTAGCCCACCAATGTTTTATGATTTGTATTGTTTTCCTTTGTTAAACCTTTCTCAAACCTTATACTTTCAACTTAAACGTTTTAACCACTTTTTTAAAACTTTCTTGAATTTTGTTCTTGATTTTCTTTTAAAATTTTCTAATTTTTCTTAAATACTCTTTTGTTTACTTTACTCGACTTTTTCAAACTCTTTTAAATAATGGTTTTGTTATGTACGTTTATTTATGTTGTGTGATTCCTTATTACGATTTATGTTCGTAAACCCCAAATCATTTTGAGACTAAAACTTTGTTGTTGTATTGCAAGATTAAAGATATGTTAAATTTAACTTACTAAATTGAACTTATTGATATTGACTGAAGAACTAGATTTAGAACAGAGCGAGGTAAATCAAAATCTTGTGGTAAATAAAATTTCTGACTTTTTAACCTTTTTTTCTTTCTTTTTTCTAATAAAGGGAGGGAGTGAGGAAGTGCAATTAATTGGTCAATTATCATTGGTACACCCCAGGTTTGGGCTTTTACCAATGATAATTTCCCTTAATTCAAAGTAGTGCACTGTACCTCTTTTGCTTCCAAGATTGCACCATCAATAAATTTAAAGGAAAAGAATAAGACGCAAAATTGATTGATAATATAACATGCAATTACGCATATGATTCTGATACAAGATTATCAATTATGAGCATGTGATCAAGAAGGGCTATCTTGAATCGATGCATTTCATACGAACAGAGACCCTTTGAATCAGATACTGTATTATCAATTGCAGAATCTATTCTCCACTATATCGTCAATAACAGATTTTAAAAAAAAGTTTTTTTTTTTTTAAAAAAAAAAAAATTAAAAAAAACTGCACCCTGAGTCACCCTAACCCCCAAAATTTCTCTGCCAACTAAAAATTATTAATCGGTCTGACTGCCTTACTGGTCACCATTGGTTGTGGAAGTACTTAAGATGATGAGTTTGTTCCAAATATTGAAAACCATATCTTCATTTAGTCAGGAAACAGTCCATCTTCACATCTGTTACATCAAGCTGGAGAATCTCTGCTCTACAACCCAGAATCGAACCAAGGCTACAGCAGAAGAGTAAAACACATTGTAACACAAATCTGAGGCATTGAAACAAAGGTCTAACTCAAGTGAAAGAAAATGATTGTCGGTCTGTCAGGTTATCCAGTTTGGGAGTAAATAATACTCCATTGTATCACAATATAAAAAAAAAGGTAAAGAACAATTTACTTCATTGTGTATAATCGATCCTATTCTTAGATGGCTTTGATCAGCCTTCAAGAAATTATATGATGGCCCAAAATCACAGTTTTCTTTTTTCCCAATTGATAATAACTTAATAACAACACACATAGAAACTTGTTTCTCCGACAAGGTTGTTATTATACGTCTTTTCTTCTTCACTGGCCCAATGCTAACATGCCACTTTAGTCTAATCCAGGATCATTTCTGTCTCTTCCCCAGTTCATATCTTCCATCACCTTTTTTCCCAATCACTGACCCCCCACCCCCTTTTCCTTGTCCTCATGTAGTGTGTGTGTTGTAGATTCCTAGACCAAGTTAGAAAATTTGGTGCAGGGAAAAAAGGTGGATAAAGTAAGAGGAGAACTAAAATGATTGAAGGTGTAAGAGAAAGGTGAAAAAAGTTATAGAGAGGAGAAAGGTGGATGAAGCAGATTAAGAAGTAAAGAAACCAAAATTGGCATAAGTGGGTTACAAAAAATGATAAGAGGACAAACAAAAATATGGAGAGAGTATCTAGCAAGATATTAGGTATTAGGATTTCCCCTAATCTCGGCTCTACCAAGCAAAAAATTATTTTTAAACTGGACTGAAAAGGAATCCGACAGTTGACATATTCATCCAAACGAAGACGAGAAAACTATACATAAAAGTTAAAAAAATGGGAAGACAATTATCAGCATACCTTGGATAAGTGCGCCCAAGGTCTCCATGGACAAATTCCTTGATGTATGTTCCAGCCTACAATTAAGACTTTGCATTACTTTTTTCCAAAAAATAGTTCAGAAGGCTGATAACCTTTTACTTGGACAGCAATTTTCAGACATATTTGTTTACACTTGCACCATACCCTAGTTTGAAGTGTGCAAAAGTGATCCACCATTCTTAAAAAATAATTAAAAAAAAAATTAAAAGGAAAGGATTTACCCTTTATGACTCCCAGATCAAAGAATCAAAAAATTGATTGTTCAAATAAGTCAATGAATAGCCATGGGAAGTACCTGTGTGCAGAGATGGAGGAGGAAATACTGGGTACTTCCGGACATCTTCTCAATATTTATCCTGTCATTAAAAAGTTTAGTATGAAAGAGGAGAAGATATTCAGGATGAGAAAAAACACCAAGAAACCAAGTTGAGTCAAGAGTTTTACGAATGAATTATCTTTTCACGTTCTAGAGGACTTCGACGATGAAGTACCCTCACTGGGGTTCTCTGTGATAATTTCTATTCAATAAGAAAACGGAGAAATTATAATTAGTAGTACAGTTACCACCAAAGACCAGTCACAATGTTCAGGCAAATTAAGAATGAATATAGCAATAACTCCCAAAATAATGACCGACATATAATAGGCATTTTCATCCATGATACCCATAAAAAAGTAAGCCACTTATATATAATTCAGTACAAAAAGCAGGATGAAAATACACTCTCTGTATCATAAATCAGTTATATGCATACGCAACAAGTCCCATATGAGGCAACCTCCTATGCTTGCGTGCCCGTGCCTTACTAATGATTGTATTTGTGGTGCAGGTTAGCGTCATTGCGTGTTATATCCTCTATTTATTAGCTTGTTGCACACATGGGGAAGGCAGGATTTTAAGCGCTGCATGGGCAATCAGTGCGCGTCCTATGATATGTGGGGTTTCAGAGCCTTCTCAACATCGTTCAAATAGGGAGGTTCCATTCACCATCAAGGAGACCATCAAGGAGGTCCACCATTCTCAACTGTGGTGCAAGGGAGTCGCCACGACCTGGCATGGATATAAAAGGCTGTCAGAGTTGGGAGTGCTTGGCGGCATGGATGTTGCGTCAGCCATAGGGGTAGGTGAGCGAGCTTAATGGGAAGGGGTATGTTCATAATAATTCATGGACGGAACCAATTCAAGGGGGACATGTTGAGCAATCAGGGAAAGGACGATGTGTAGAAACACGAACAAGCGGCAACAAGTAGGGTTTTGAAGAGGAGTCATGTTGTGGTGCTAAGGGGACCCAAATGTGATAGCATTTGGCTAAATCATTGGGCAAGCATGTTGGATACATGTCACTTGTGTTTACGAGAGCGGCCAAGTGACGTGTTGTACGTTGGAAAGCAACGTGGAGCTAACCTCAAAGCGCCACAACGAGGGCGTTGTGGCTTAGATGGGGGAGCTTGTCACGTGTTGATAGTTTCCCCGATGCCCCGTCACAGCAAGTCCCATATGAGGCAATCTCATACCTAACTGATGCATGTGTTTTTGGTACAGATTAGTGCCATTGTATGTTGTTTCCTTTATTTATTAGCTTGTTGTGCATATGGGGAAGTCTAGGATCTAGCAACAGAAATGGGGGTATTTGCATTGGTCTCGTGACAAGGCGCTTGCTCATAAAGTTTATAATAGATGAGTTATGGCCATTCAAATGTGTGGAAACATATACATAGCATTCTATCTAAGTGGAAGAAAACTATGACAGGTAAACCTTCAATCATTATCCAAAAGCGTACTTTTCAGAGAAGCTACTTTTCCAAAACAATTTTCCTGAATAATAGTGTGGATGATGGATTTAAAAGGAAGTGGAGGAAATGAGGGATAGTTGATCTATTTTCCAGTGTATGAATATGGAATGACGAAGTGAGAGGAATTGAATTTGAAAGATTCATTTTCCATAGCCTTTTAATCCTTATACTATTGGATGGGAAGGAGAATGCAAGCCCACTCATTCCCTCCCCTCACCTCCATTATTGCTAGGCATTGTAATTGATTTTCCAATGAATTAGTAGCTCACTTATACATAATTATGAAGCAACTGTAAATGATGTGACATGCCGATAACAACCAACTATGTCAAAATAATAATAATATAAAAAAAAAAAGTGAGGTGATATAATATTCAACAGAAACTCACCAAATCTTTAAGTAAAGATAAAGTTACCAAGTCTTTATCCTCAAGTTGACGAGAAATCCACACTAGGGCTGTATATTGCTTCTGCATAAAAGAAATAGTATTGAAACATTTTTACGGAGTCAAAGTAAAATAGGAAAATGACAAAGATTATAGAAAGTGAGAAATAAAGCACAGAAAACTCGGGTACGTGGGTGGGATTCCCAACTTTAGGGAAAAAATAGAGACAAAACTTGCCAAAGATGTACTAATATGTTGCAATAAATAGGGACATCCTAAAGAGGAATAGATTGCAATTTACTCCTTACATCTCTACATGTTCCTACTTTGACCTTTTTCGTAAGATATTATCCATCAAAGTGGGAACAACAAAAAGAGATGGAGGGAGTATAAGGGACGGAAGGAGTAACAAAAAACTTAATTTTAAATATATATAATTGGTTTAACTGAGGATAACCTGCTTCTCTGCTTCACCTTCACGCATTAGGGTCCAAACTTGTTCATCAACAACTTTAAGGTTTTTTACCTTCACCTAAGTAACAAATGAGATATATTCAAAGGTCTCAAACAGAACCAAAAGAAGTCTATACCCAAAAATGATATAGAGGAAATGAAAGCATTACAAGAAGCTTGGTCCTCTCTTACCAATTTTCCTTCCAAACTATTAATTTTCATTTCCATCTCTTTTAGTGACAATTCTGATGGCAACATTCGGGGATTTTGAATTTCAAGTAAGAAAGGACGTCCAGAGCCCAACATTCGAACCTGAAATTTGCAAGAGTAAATAAAAATAATAATTCATAAAGTTACATCAAACACAAGAACTCACATGCTCAGTACATCTATGTCTTCTCTGCCAGCAGCATGAAACTTGTAATTATCGCCCCTACACAACGGAAGAATGCTATTTCCCACAATCTCCTAGAAATTTCAGAAAGGCTTTCAGAGATCAGCTGTCAACTCTTCACAGGGAAAAAAAAGTTAACATTTCATATAGCCAAATAGCCATCCAGGTAGTACCTCAACAGATGCTTCTCCCATTCTTTCATCATCAATAATCCATCGTGACTGACTCACATTTCTAGAGTACTGCAATAAAATGTATAAAGCATGAATCCCACACCAATCTAAGGAAGTCCAGGTATCTAAGCTACTTCTTCTACATAACTATGAGCTCACAGATAGACTTTAAACCAATATTACATGATAATATTATAACCAATGATTGGATGCCATAGCTTTCACGATTATATATTGAACACCATAATTTTATGTGCACATGAGGGCTGAAGCAAAAAGTAGGCATGACATATTCCGCTTAAAATAGGATCTAGTGAGAAAGGTGAGAAGCAATTAGATACATAAAGTATTTTAACCAAAAAAAAAAAAAAAATCAAGTATTATGGATAAATCACATAAACATGACAGATTCATCATAAAAGTATTACTCCCTCCATTTCAATATGATAGTCTCATATGGAATCAATCAAATAAAATAAGAAAAAAAGAAAATTTGGAATCTAACATCAAAGTAAAAAAACAATTCATAAATAGTTTTATCTTGTTTAAATTTTTTTTGATTTTTTTAAAAAAAATCGTCAACTATAATTGCATGATTCAAGGAAATAATTTCTTTACTTAGAGTCATGTCATCAATTCACAATCATTTAATTTAGCTAATCAAAATTTAATACAGTATATATAAAATAGGAAATGGAAACTAAGTTAAAAGTGGAATACATTCAATATGGGTAGATCTTTTTGAAACGCCCAAAATAGTATATGGGACTAACAAACTAAACCAGAGGGAGTATAAAGTAATTACTGCAAATACATTGAGGCATTATTGAAACTACATCAAATAACCATTAAAAATACATCAAATACACGACTTAGGTACATCAAGATTGTGAAAAGATATTTCAACCAAACTGAACAATAAATAATAGAAAACAGATGTCATATAAAGCTTGCTCTGTATGTAATCCAATACCTAGACTCAATGAATAAATGACTAGTTTAATTTAATGTGTGAAAGACTATTTAACAAAAATAATTAAAGAGCTTATCGGAAAATATCAAAGCTAGAGATTTGTCGTGACATTTACAATTAATGCCAAGAAAAAATGAGATTCATTGATGTCGGAGGAAAAGGAGCTAAGGGATCCACAACCAATTTATCAGCAGTGGAAGTGTTGTTGTCAAGTTCATCACTGCTGTCGAGCTGGTGGTGGTCATGAGAACTTTAAGTTGATGTAGGGAAGAAAAAAAGGAGGAAAAAAAAAAACACCAGAGGAGGTTAAGAGAATGGCCAAAGGAGTAAAGGAAGAAAAAAAAATGTGGAGATGCTTTAAATCTTGACAATAAGATCTAAGGCATATATATAAGGTTAGGATCCAATGAGAAGAAGGATAAATGAGTAAAAAAATCACTCACTATACATATATTTTCAACTGATGTACAGGTAACATTTGAAACATATACTGATATACACATCGAATTAAAATCGTTGCACATCAATATAATATCTCTCTCTCGCTCGCTCTCTCTCAAATCATATTCTAAAACCCAAAGATCGCATGCATAAATACGAATCATAAATTCGATTATAAATATTTGATGTGTGCTTTCAGTGCTACCTTCAACCCCTTGCTTGGAAATTAGAGACAAATATTGCTACTCTATTGTTAATCCATAAGCGCAGATTGAATCTCCACGAATGCTAGTTCGCAAATAACAAGGATATACGTATTTACCTTGCTTTGGGTGGGGGGTGGGGGGGAGGGGGTGGGGGTGGGGGTAGGAGTAGGACAGAAATATTACGTTCAATTTGTTGTGGAAAATTTTTACTGTTCCTCTCACTCTTATCCCTAGATATATTATCTTATTATTTATCTAGGGCTTCGTGTGTTTGCATCAATCCGTCACTTATTGTGTGACCTCATAGGATTCAAAAATTAGTAGTCTTTCTAGTTCACAAATCATAATTGTTCAGGTCTCTAGTAAGACATTGACCACCTAAAATACAGTATTAATTATCTCCTCAATGAACCTTGTTATATTTAGTAATTGCATTAAGGACATCCACTTGTCTGAGAAAAAGTGTGCAATCTTCAAATATAACAAACAGCATTAAAAGGATAATAAGTTTAGACCTTTTGGAGGTCATAATGTCTTGCCAGAGACTAATTATGATATGCAGACTAATAAGATTAGGCCCAGTGCTAATTAATCGGATCCTATGAGGTCACACAATAAGTGACCGATCAAAGCAAACACACCATGGGCTTAGTGGATCAACAATAGAGGAGCAACGTTTGAGGCTCTAATCTCCAAGCAAGAGGTTGAAGGTAGCATTGGAATAATGCATCAAAGATTGTATTTCTAATTCATTCCATGTTTCATATAATTTATGCATGTGATCCGTTTAGGTGTTGAGAATATGATTCTAGAAATTCCATTAAACGCACCTAAAACCCTAAGCAAGAAAAAACAGCCTTGGTGGATTGCATAAAAAGTAATTCGTCAAGACAATAGCATTGAAATTATCATATTCACACCAAAATTAGGCTAATGAGTGTCATCTGCTATGCCTAATTGGGTAATCTTGTAGCCTTAATATTAATTGTAGAGACATATGGTAATAAGACTGACTTATCTCAAAATATCTAAATGATTACACAGATTATCTAGCCGGTGAAGAATCCAATAAATGCTGTTTTCATTTGCTTTGGTTTAGGCTGTATTTTTGAAGCCAACTTAAGCAAGGCATTATGTATATGAAGAAATAAAACCAAAGAAACCAAAATAAAAAAAAAAATATATCAGATGCTATATTTTTAATGATACCAAAGAAAACATATTAGTATTATACCTTTAAGTATCTACCTCCAATATAGATAGGTGAACTGGAACAAAGAACCTCCAAGCTGCAAGCTGATATCTAAGGTTAAAAAAAACACAAGTTATTTTCCTAAATTCTGAACATAAACTAGGCCATTGAAATAATTGTCTATGATACACATACACTAGATCTAACAAGAGACAGGTACACCCCCACGCACAAAATTTCAAAGTCTCATGCACCTTCTAGAACAGTCATAATTTTTCCTTCTATAAAATTTGGGTATGAGTTTACCTATCTCAAGGTACCACCACAGACTGGAAACCCAGGTATACAAAAGATATTGTAAGCATAACAGCTCAGACAGTAAGACAATGTTAAACTTAAAGGTAATGCATGATTTCAACTTCAGATTTTAAGTCCTAGAAAAGCATTGTTTACAGTTGTAAGTCCAATAAAAGCTGGCAGCAATTTTGTAATAATGCTTTTCCATGTGAATCTGCTACATTGATTGGATATTGGTCATACGACAAAAGAAAACGAAAGGTTGAGCTCAAGTAATTAATGTGTTATGCCTTAAGTGAGACACATGCTACAACAAGCAGGAAAAGTAACATAAAACAAGTCCATTCTGGAAGAGACTGAATACAAGAACTTTGAACATCTTTTTTATTGAATACCAAGCAACATACACATATATCATCAAGTAAGAATACTAAAGAAAAAAACTCACCTTCTCTGATGGTCTGAAGGGTTTTGCTTCTAGCAAATTTTTTGCACATTGCTTCAAATCGAAATCATTCTCATTAGGTTCAGACCTTCCTGTTCCAACAAACAGACTATTTCAATAGTGAAGGCACAAGTGATCACCGAGTATTCCATGAAAACAATAGCAATGACGATAAACATTTGGTTTATATGCAGCAAATTATGCCATTCAGCAAATTTTAATGTGATCTTCAGTGTTCAATCTTCAAAGGCCTAGGCAAACAACAGCAACAACACACGCACGCGCGCACACACACACACACAAATTAAAAAAAAAACCCTCCAAGCTTCATTCTCACCTTGACAGCTCAAAAGGTAACCACTTTTAGAGACAGATGAAATGAGTAGAAAAGGAACTTGCCTGTTTTCCGCTTCTTGCTGCCTTGGTTATTTTCTTTTCCATTATCAGTCTTTATTGGCATTTCTGAAGATGTATAAGTCAACCGAACACGGAAAGAGCTTGACCCAGATTTGACACCCTGTGCAACCTCACAGCTTAAACATAGCAACCTTGGTAGAGAAATATATATTTCTTTTGATGTTCTTTTATTAAACTGGCATGAATATCAAATCACAATTTTGGCTACAAAGATACAAATTTTAAAGACATAACTAAGTACACAATGCTTCAAATTACACAAGTTCTCCAAACAGAGCAGTCCTACTTACCAACAACGTTTCAAGAGGCTCTATTATAGATAGCTTCAGAGAATCCTTGACTGAAATGGCTTCAGACTGGAGTGTTTCTTGAAACCATTCCTCAGAACTGTACTTCTGTTTCATAGATAGCCTACACATCAATAAAAACAACTAAATCACATAATCTGAAAGGTTTATGCATAAGATCATAAATGAAAGTGAAGAGCCAGTTTCATTTAGAAACCATATAATGATGAAATGTCAACTAGAGCCAGTTAGACCGATAACCTGACAGCATTTTCGTTCTCCACGATTATTGGTGGTATAGAGACTTCAAGAGAAAAGCTATCTGCTTGATGACCATCCTTTTTCACCAGTTCGTAGATTAATGCAGCAAAGTCATTGGCACAACCCCTGTTCACCAATGCTTGTTTCTCATCCACACAAACGTACTGCAGAATCCCAAAACAAACACTGCAAATACCATCCTCATTGGCAGACTCTTTCAACACAGGGTCATCAGAGCTAGGTTGATGTGCAACAACTTCTGACAATATAGTAGAGATCCGGGAATAGTGGGTGTAAATTGGTCCATATTTCCCAAATAATCGAAGGATACACTGCGGACAGACCTGCAAATACCGCCATATATCACTAATTTATTATAGGCAAATACATGACATATTCAGATATGTAGGACATAGAAATTTGAAGGTCCAAAAATCATTAAAATTGGAAGAAAAAGCGCGCTTAAATAAAATCTTCTCCCCCTAAATACCAATGTGACATCAAAAAAGATGCCAATCTATCACTAACCCAGAGTCACCTAGTTCGCGTTTAGTCAATAATGTACACGGGAACTCAATTTGCTGACACATATTTAGCCTAACACTACACCAATCAATTCAATAATGCAATACTCTTGTATAATGTATACTAATATCCAAACAAATTTCATCAAATTATAATTAAATAGAATATTTCTAATGTGAGAACAAAAAATCGATTGCAGTACACCAATCACTTCAATAATGCAATACTCATGTATAATGTAAACTAGTGTCCAATCAAATTTCATCAAATTATAAATTATAATTAAATAGACTAATTCCAAAATAAAATAATGTCAGAACATAAAATCAATTACACTATGAAGTATCTTCAACAATCACTGTTTTTCTATATTCTCCTCAAAAATTAAGTTTTTCACATCAAAAATTGATATAATTAATAATTGATTAGTGAAAGTTAACAGTTGAAATAATACAGCTAAATCAATTCAAGGAATTCATATCAAAGAGAAGAAAAATTCGTACTCGGAGGGTTAGGAGATAATTGACTGCCGGCGGCGGTAGCGAGCGCAAGACGTCGTCGAGCAGGCGGAGCTCTTCGTCAGCGTTGTTGAGCGCCATTGATGGAGAAGAGAAAAACGGAGGAGAGAGAAAATCAGTTTGATTGCAATGGCGGCAGGAAGTTGCACTCCAACCAGAGAAAACACCCGCCCAATTGCCCAAAGGAGGAGGAAGTCGGGTGATTTTATTTTCTTATTTTTGTTTATCCATAGGAAGTCTTTTAATCGATGAAAGGAGAAGTAAAGAAGAAGTAAAAATGGGATGAGTAAATTGTAGTATTACATCGGCAACATGGTTTATATAGCCAAGAGCTTTACATATAATGTCATACAAGTTCACAAGTCTTTGGACTTGTGTGAACATTGTGAAAACAAATCAAATAATAGGCATTCACATTTATCTTCTAACAATTTTCTTATTTTTTTTATGCAATAATGTTCTTTTTTTCTAGTCTGATTTGATATGAATTATTCTACAATCTAATTTGAATTTTATCTTGTCTAATGCGCTTATGTGATAAAATTTGTAGATACATTATGGAACAGGTTTTTCCATATTAACTAGCAATAATTTATACTCTATTCATCCATAAAAATTTGTTGATACATTATGGAACAGGTTTTTCCATTAACTAGCAATAATTTATACTCTATTCATCCATTAAAAAATGTAATTTTAATGTACAATAAAAAATACTTCACTAAAAACAAAAAAGACTCATATTACTCTTTATACCCCTTTACAATATTGGTTGAACATTGGGTGCGAGTACACACACCCTAGTGTTTGTGCGCCAAGTGTTTGGCTGGTGGTGTTGTGGTTGGTGGGTGCGGTGGAGGGGGAAATTACGGGGAAGTGAGGAACGAATTGAAGGAGAAGGAGAAGGAGTGAGGGGATTTGTGGCGGTTTGTTCCCATTTTCACGTGACTGAGAAAGTGAGGAAGAGGGAAAGAGGAGAGGGAATGAAATGAAAATAATGTATGAGCTTATTTTGGGTTGTTGGCTTATACATTTTGAGTGAAAATTTTACCATACACCCAAGTGTAGGGTGTTCTGCCTACACCCCCCCCCCCCCCCCATGAAGCTACATTGTATTGTAGCTAGTTAGGGTGCTAGGGTGTTCTACCTACACCCCCCTTAAATTTAACAACCTGATTTTTTTTTCTTTTTTCTTCCGTTGTTAGTTTTCTTTTTTATTTTCTTCCCTTTTTTTTTATTTCTTTTCTTTACTTATCATTTATTTATCATATGCACTTCTGTTAGTGATATAATAATAGATTAATGTTCAATTTTAAAGTGATAAATGATCATTTGTGTATATAGTTTTGTTTTTGATAATATTATATTTTAAAATTTGATCATGTGCAGTTTTGTTATTAAATATTTTTTTTGAAAGCTTAAATATTTTATATATTTATAATTGATCATTTTAAAAATTGTTCAAGTTCACTTACCATAATTGTTTATGAAGTAGAAAAAAAGGATGGTATAGTTTATGAAGAAGCAACTAATTAAGTCTGAAATTTAGGGCAAAGAATTTAAATCTCAAGCAGAAGCTTATGAAATATATATCGAATATGATTTTAAGAAAGATTTATAATTGACAATTGTTTTAAAATGGTAATGCTCAATCACAACTATAAGTTATTATGAACATTTAGGTTTTTTTATTTTATTTTATTTTATTTTATTTTTGAGGAAGAACATTTAGTTTTTTTGTTAATGAACAAATTTCTTTTGTGGCATGACCATTGTATATATAGTAGGCACTAGCCGAAACCGGATTGTTTCCTTCATTCTTAATAAAATCAAAGCTAAGTGAATTTGTATATCATCAAATATGATCATTATATATATACACTATCTAGACGTTTTGTTTATGAACATCTTGTTTTTCTAATATGATCATTATATATATACTATCAAGATGTTTGCTTTTAAAGGATGTGATTTATATTAATACTCAATCAGAGAAAAGAAATGGTTTATTTCTTTCTTAATAAAATCAAAATACATTATATTGTATATCACCAAAGATTAGATATTAAAATATAAAATACAATTCCATACGTATAATCAAATAAAATAAACTTCCTTCTCGATTCAAATTTAGAGAATTCAAGCATGTGTTATTGTTTCATATTGCTTAGTGACTCCACGCCTTCTTGATTTTCTTAGTTCTGCCGCCTTTCTTTTTTCCTTGCTATTATGTGGTTTAACTCATTATATCCATTGTTCATTGTTTAACTAATAGACAAAAACATATAAGTTACTGTATTAGACTTGAGTAAGAATAAGTATTAGAATGAACCAATTTTCATATGAATATGAACATGCATGAGTACAACGTACAATTGACATGATTGATATGGAAATGAACATCTGTCAATATAAATGAATATATATATTAATATATAAATGAATTGAATATATATTAGTGTGGAAATGACCATCTAGTGATATGGAAATGAACAACTATTAATACATAAATGAACGTATTTACGTAATTCAACCTGGAAATGAACATATTTACGTAATTTAACATAGAAATGAACAACTATTAGTACGTATATGAACATATTTACATAATTAACATGGAAATGAACAACATATAATTGAACATTTATTAGTGTGAAAATGACCATGAAAGGTAATGATTGAAGAACATGAAATATATATATACATGAATAAACTCTTGAAGCTATCAATATTTGATTTACCATACATCTACATAAGAAATGACATATATTGAAATTCAAAATTGAAATGAACATGAAATATTTGAAGAAAATGATTAAAATATGAATTTTTATCAAAATTCTAAAAATTATATATTAATATGTGAAATTGTGAATGACCGTATACTTTATGTGATTGAACATCCACCAAAACAATAATGAACTTTCATCAAAATAATTTTCCACTCCAAACTATGAAAAGGGAATAAACATTACTACATAAATGACTATGTAATAATATATAAATGAACATGTATATTAATCATTTATTAAAATGTGAATGGTTGCATACTAATATATAAATGAACATCTAACAAAATTGAAATGAGCATTCATAAAAAAAATAAAAAAAAATAAACACTATGAATTCTCTGAAATTGTTTCCTTTGCCCTGCAAAAAAATTAAAGAATATATTGATTTAATTTACTAGTTTTATAATAAAAATTACTAAAACTACAGTATAATAATTACGTTGATATACATTTTTTCATGGTTGATGTCACGATTATCATCCCAAAATATATAGCAACAAAAATTTTAGTAAAATCTAGGGCTTATACTTTTTTTTTTCGTTCCAAATTCAAATAAAATAACTTACTCTTTCGAATTTCGCCTTGTGTTGTTGAATTTCATAGTGATTGAACAAATTTTGCGATAATCTTGTAAAAATTTTACAGTTAAAGCTTTTGATAAAAGAGAAAATGTAACACTCCCAAATTAATCTCTAATATTAAGAATAATAATCCAACTTTAGGGAGTAACATGGGAGTATTACCGCCACGTGAGTACTTAAAGCTTAATAGAGTTTTGCAGCGGAAAATAGTACTTAACTTTCATTAATAATAATAGTTTGATACACTTTCAAAGTAACTACACCACTAATACTATGTTTACTAAGTTAAACTAGGTGATCACCGCCCAACGTTTCCAATGCACCAAATAGTTCACGTTGTTCGATCGCCACTACCTATCTACTCATCAAAGTGATAAGTAGGGCCAAGCCAAAACAAAACGTACAAATACGTATTAGCCAAAATGCTATGTACATACAAATGCTAGACATGTAAAATCAATTTAATTAATTAAACATGCTTTCGAAGAGATTTAACTTTAATAAATCATAATTTATCCAAACCATTCACGAATCGAAATTCATGTATAAAAACTTGTTAAAAGAACCAATTTCCGAAATAAACAACTTTCCAAGGATAATTTCGAACAGGATGGATCAGTCCATATTTTCATAAATCATTTTCCCATCTAAGTGTGCACACCCCCAATCTAGTAACTCCTTTACATAGTGCTATCAAGGGGAAAGACTAGGTCATACAAAGTCCATAGTCTTCAACTTACTCAGCATAGTGGGAGTTAAAAATCCAAAGATCCAAGAAGTAAATCCTGTTAAATAAACTTTCCAATATCCTATACTCGGGATAATTTAAACAATAAAACTTCCTTTTTAGAACATCTTGAATATCGATACAAGTTTATAATCAACCATATGAAATATTTAAACATTTGAGATCAAACACTTAAAACATGTTTCACCGAAATATATTTCACAATCATTTAAACATGATTCGAAATCACTTAACATGTAAATCACATTGCATATAAAAGTCACTTTTTAAAAGATTTAGCCACGTGTACGTACCTTGATCCTTGCAAACAAGCACGAGGTTCTTAATTACAAACTTGAAATCGCTACTACATTAAACACAAGGTCCTAATAAAAAACTCTTCGACCCATAAACACGAGTACATAAAATGTGGACCATTGACTTAGTTGTGCACGAGCAATTAGTTTAACTCTTATAATACTATTTATACTTTCAAAGTTTAAGAAATCTTTTTAATGTTAAGAGGTCAAGTTAGTCATAATAATAATAATAATAATAATAATAATAATAATAATAATAATAATAATAATAATAATAATAATAATAATAATAATAATAATAATAAGAGTAGTGCATATATAGATGTATGTAGTATGTATGTAGCTACAATATGTGGTGTAGGAGTGATGATAATAATAATAGTAGTAATAACAACATAATAAATAGTAGTAGTAGTATGAATAGTAAGGTAGTACTCCCTCCGTTTTTAAATACTTGTTCCACTGTCCATTTAGGCCATTTTTAAATACTTGCTCCATTTCCTTATTTGGAAAGCTTTTACAATATTTAATCAGTTTCTCTCACCTAGTGGTCCCAACATATATTCTCTCTCCTCTAACTCTCTCAACTACTTTTGCTTTCTATAATTTTTTATTCTTCCACCAATCTCACTACCTTCATATTTTATTATTTTCTCTATTTTTTCCTAAAACTCCGCACATGGAGAAATGGAGCAAATATTTAAAAATGGAGAGAGTAATTGATAACGATTATTATAAGATAACAATGAAGATAAGGATTGGAAGGATTTATATGTAGTAGTATCATATTTGTAGTTGTAGTAGCGGGTCATCAACAACAATAGTTATAATAATAATAATATGATACATAAATTTATAAAATAGGAGTATGTAGTGCGTAAGGTAGTTGTAGCATATAGTTGGAATAAAATCATCAACCACAACAATAATAATACTAATAATATTAATATTAATAATAATCACGCATTGTAGTAGTACTTAAATTAGAGGTAGTAACTAGTTATTAGTATTAAAACTAGTGGAGATTAAGCTAAGAGATTAAATAATTAAGGAAAAAGTAATGAGTGGATGGTGTCACATTTGGTGGTCGGGGGCTGCCGATAGTGGGTGGCCAGCTGGCGGCAAGTGGTGCTCGTGGTGGAGTTCACTACCACTATATGAAAGCTTAGAGAAGGTGAATATAGAGAAGGAAAGGGAAGGGAGGAGAAGATGGTATGGTCACAATGACCTCCATCCATGGCTATATATAGCCCCAACTCAAGCACTATTCCAACCGATTTCATAAATGCTGTCAACCCAATTAATGAAGCCAACCTAATAAATGTTGTTGGCCTAATAAATGCAGCTGGCCTAAAAAATGCTGCTGACCCAATAAATGCAGTCGAGCTAATAAATGTTGTGAATATGAGTAGTATTAATATAAGAGTTGACTTTGATTACAGAAGGATGAATAATTTGGTACTTGTTAGTTTGACTCGGAAGTAAAATACTGGAGGTTGAAATTCCGACAACTTTGAGTTGACTCATATAATTATAAAGCGTAATAAAATTATATCTTTGTAAAATCATATATGGACTTAAATAGATATTTTTGTATAATAAAATATTTCGGAAAAATCCATAATTAATAATTAGTAAATAGCTTAAAAATACGGGGTATTACAGAAAATGGCAAAGAATTGGGTGTAGAGAGAAAAATTAAAGAGATGAGTGAGGAGAGAGAAAATGATTGTTGTTGATTTTTTTTTTTTTATTATATAATATGTGGGGTTGGAGGATTAATTAAATAAGTTACTGCAAATGAAGATTAGAGGTTAGTGGGTGGGGCCGTGGGGGGGTTAGATCAAACGACGTTTTGTAGGGGGGTGTAGGTAGATGACTCTACACTAGGGTGTAGGATTCACCAATTGCATTTTGAGTTGTTGGCTTATAAATTCTTGGTTGTTGGCTAATACATTTTGGGTTCTTGGCTGATACATTATTCATATCAGTCATTCAAATGAACATATCGGCCAATTGATGTCTGATATCAGTCAACATCAAAGCTATATGAGACATTAATAAAAAAAATGTATCGGCCAACGAAAGATAGATATCAGCCAACAACATGTACTTATCAGCCAACCAAAGGAACATATCATCCAACGAATAAAACATGTCAGCTAACAAAAATGATGAAATCAACAAACAAAGGCAACAAGTAAGCCAACAAAATAAAACATATAAGCCAACAATTAAAATATACCTATCACCCAACAAATAAATATATCAGCCAACTAAAAAAACATATAAGCCAAATGATGTCTGATATCAGCCAACAAAAGGAAAAAAAAAAAACATATCAGAATAAAAGGAATATATTAGCCAACACAAAAATCGTATTAGCCAGCAAATGAAATATATTTGCCAACACATAAAACATGTAAGCCAACAAGTAAAATTTATAAGCACAGCCAGCCGCACGGAAATTTGCATGTGGATGTTCGCATGCAATAACTTCTCTTGGTTGAATAAAATAAAAACTATGCAAAAACCATATATCACCAAAAAAAAAAAAATTAAAAAAAAATTAAAAAAAAATTGTCATCTAAATATCGCATATGTTGTGACTTGTAAGATAGAGGTAATATTATTAGTGGTGGTTACTTCAGTTCAATTATTGACCTAAGCAGGCCCGGCTCTTAACCGGTTTATCCTCATACACGTAACAGGGCCCCCAAAAATTAGGGGCCCATAATTGCTTAAAAAAAATCGCTGACATATATATTAAAAAAATAAAAATATCTACTTTACCCATCCATTCATCTTCTTCCCGTAAAAACCTCTATTTGAAAACCAAAACCCAAAAAATCTTCAATTCAATCTTTCATCTTTGACTACTGCCTTTTAATTTCCCAAACAAAATTAAATTCGCTCAATAATTATCTCTCCTAAACGGCTAATTTCCCTAATTATCTCCAATTTACTTAATTTTTTCTCTATTTTTTAGGCAAAATTGAAGAGCAATTTATACTCATATCGGAATCAATGACGATTCAATTTATATTAACGGCCAAATTTTTATTTATTTATACCAATTTCAAGATCAAGCAATACGCACAAAAAAATATTACAATCTTCAGTTTTCTTTCAATTTTTACTCAATTCAAAAGGGGGAAAAAACGTAATTGGAAGCACTCAAAAGTCTGGCGAATTGTTCTTGTTCGGTGGATCTGGAGTAGTGGAGTGCAGATGTTGATTACTTGATTAAAGATCAGGTTGTATCTATCTAAATTTTTTTTTTGTTATTTTAATTTATGCATAATTGAGGATTTTGCTTCAAAGAACGTTAGAAGGATGACACTTTTTAAATAAAATGTTTTTGTTATTTGTTGTTTTTATTGAATTATTAGTAAACTTAGTATATTTTGGCTTTATAATTTGTAGTACTGTACTAAAAAAAATTTTCTTTTTATAATAATAATATTTTTATCCTTTTATAAATAGTCCTTTAAAAATTTAAGGGCCCAATTTTTATAATTAGAACAGGGCCACCAAATTGCCGGAGACGGCCCTGGACCTAAGGAATTGTTTCACACTTTTTATAGTTTGTATATTGAACATACTCCAATGGATTCATCATGATGATTAAAAATTAGGAAAATTTGCCAAGAATAATACCACTTTTCACCGGTCTTCCAATAATAGAACCACATTTGGATTATCTCAAAATAACACGACCTTTGACATACTTCTTCTATAAATAGAACAAAAAACCGGTAACCTGTTTAATAGGTTACATTGGACACGTGTCGCGTTGTAATTTGTTAATTTTTTTAATAGAAAAACCTTAAATTTAAATAAATAAAAAACCATCTTTCCTGTTCAGCAACCCCCCTCCACCTCCACTCCCCTTTCCCCCTCCCCCAGCCTCCCTGTTCAGATCCTCCCCTGTTAGCCTACCACTCACCGAGAACAACCCCCCCTCCACAGCCTCACCCTCGAAACTGCCCTCCATCCCACCCCCACACTCGAACAGCCACGTATCCCCACCCACACCCTCGAAATCGCCTCAAAGCCACCGCCTCGCCCTTAAAAACTATCTCAAAATCACCGCCCTGCCCTTGAAACCGCCTTAAAACCACCACTCTGCCCTCGAAATCGCCTCCCAAACCATTTCCCTCACTTACTGGAAAATTGAGAGAGATTAAAACCTTTTCAACCACCTGCCGGAAAAGAAAGAGAGATCGAAACCTTATCCCCTACCAACCGAAATAGAAAGAGAAAGCTTGCGTGAAGGGGAGGGGGGGTGTCGAAATCTGGGTAGGGAAGGGAGGGGGTTCAGAATCGGGAACATGGTAGGGAAGGGGGACCGAAATCGGGGACGGGGTAGGGAAACCGGAATCGAGGATGGAGAGGGGAGGGGGCCGGAAACGCGGATGAGGACGAGACGGGGGAAAAGAGGGGGCCCCACGCTGGTGGTTTCCGATTAGGGGGGCTATTTTAAAAAATGGAAAATTGATATAAAAAAAAAAGACTAATCACATTGTGACACATGTCACAAGTAACCTATTAAACAGGTTACCAACAGGTCACGTTCTATTTATAGAAGATGTATGTCAAAGGTCGTGTTATTTTGAGATAATCCAAAGGTGGTTCTATTATTGGAAGATCGGTGAAAGGTGGTATTATTCTTGGCAAATTTTCCTAAAAATTATGCTTCGTGATATTTAATTATTGACTTTACACTTCTCTTTCTCATAATTGGCTCCTACACTGCAAATAGGGGATTAGGTTTTTAAAATAAGTATAATACCTTCAATTTGAATATAGAAAGCATATCCCTACACACACACACACAAAAAAAAAAAAGAAAAAAAAAGAGAGCACACAACAAAAGAAAAGAAAAAAAAAGAGAGAGAGCAAACACTTCATATATGCCAATACGATAACAACAAAAACAAAGCATTAATCCCAAAATGATTTGGGGTCAGGTAACTTGAATTGTCATAAGAAATCGTACGATATAAGGAAAGAGACATACTCCCTCCATTTTTTTAAGTGCCCAATTGGGGATTTTGATAAAACCCTAAAAGGTGAGCTTAATTAATTAAATCACGAGAAGCAATAGCCCAATTGGGGATTTTGGACTATTCGCTAAACAAAATTTGATTCTTGTTTGTGGTTTTTAGAATCGTCTCAATGAGTGAATAATTAATATTTAAAGTTTTGCATCGACATGCGTGTCATGTTACTATAAGACACTTAAAAATATGAAGGGAGTAACAAGATAATTAGATAGCATATATGCCAATCTTAAAAAGATAAAAACTTTAGAATTCAAATAAACATATAATAAATCTTCTTAAATGTTAATGAAGTACATTTACATTCACAATATGACATCACATTAATAAAAACTTAAGTAGGACAAATTTGAAAACATTCTTTAATGTCATCTTGGAAATTGTCTAATAACGAGTCATAGTACGAGTCATCATAGCTATAAACTCATTCATATTTATGAAGCCATCACCATCCGTATCAGCTGCTTTTACCATATTCTTGCAATCTGCGAGTGTACATCTCTCTCCTAGCCTCTTTAGCATTTCATGCACCTCCTCTGCACTTATCTTCCCATCTTCATCCAAATCAAACACGCGAAACGCATTCCTTATGTCCATAGTCCTTACACCACCTCCATCTTTGTGCAATGCCATAAACTCTTTGAAGTCAATGTACCCATCTTTGTTTGAGTCGGCTACCTGAAATATCTTACCGACTTCTCTCACCACACTTTCATCCTTCCCCATGGCTCGGAGTATGGCCTTGTACTCTTCTTGCGATATCTTCCCATCTTTGTTTTTGTCAAATCTATCAAACACCTGACGCATTTCATCCGTGCTTGGCAGGAAGATTGGTAAGATGTTAGAGTACTGCTTATTGCTGAAGGAAAATAAACGCTTTGAGTTCTTTGAGAACTTGCTTCTACCATACTGAAAATCGAGGAATTTCACGAAGACATGATTTTGAAGTAGGAAGGATGGAAGATAGAATCAGACTAACGATGTCCTTTATAATACAAACTTTCAAGAAGTATGGCGGTCAAAATATTCTGATGCTAAAGACTGTAGACAGGAATAATACATAAACATTCATGCACCTAAATTATGTATATATAGGAATATAAGATGCTATTCCATGCTTCTATATTCCTTAAAAAGTTGAAAGCTACCAGGGAATAGAGAACATCAAATGGGGTGGACAAGAGATAGTTGAAGAAACAGGAATCGTCAACCCAGAAAAAGATGGAGAAATGAAGCAAAGAATATAATCATCAGCACAATTCAAGAAAATTTTCCAGTTATGCCATTCCCACATGCTTCATCTAGGGTGTTCCTTTACAACAAGTTATAAATCTTTTTTTAAAAAAAATTAAATTAAATAAAATAAATAAATCAGATGATTCTACTTGATCATCAATCAAGCGAAAATATTCTCTGAACAATCAATCAGAAAAAAATAAAATAAATAATTAAATTTATGTTCCCATAGAACCAATATTACCAATACATGTACATATTAGGTTTACAACATAATTGAATTACAGATTTTGATGATGAAAACAACGGAAAGAACACCCTTTATTGTTATTTCACTAAACAAATGCTTAACGACCAAGTTCAATCGAACCTTTATTACCTGAAAGTAGCACAACCTCTGTACAGCAATATAAAGACAATACAGTGATACTGTTTGATATATAGTTGATAATTCACAAATGCGAAGGTAAAAGATTAAGATCAACATGACCAGAAAGCACCACTTTGTTTCTCTCCTTCACGTTTACCTGATATATAACCCTGCTCATTCAAGTAAATAATCAGAAAACTAGACCCAAATACACCAGTTTTATATCACTTTAAGTTAAGTTGCAATCATACCTCAAACCCTCAAGCCACATTTCTGTGATCAAAGTTTCACCAGGGAAGACATGCAGAAGAAACCGACCTGATAAACTCTTGACCATGTCTGAGTTCCCTTTGCAAATGCATTTAATAATAGCTCTGATTGCATAACCAAGACTGCAGAGTCCATGCAATATAGGACGTGGAAACCTGTGCAATATAGACAACGTACACATCAAACACATAATATTATAACAGAGAAATTTACGTCAGCAGCAAGCTGAACACCCCTCCTCCAACACGCGCACACGCATGCACGATTGCACGCACACTCACACACACAGTACTTTTCTGGTCAGAAGGGGGAAATATGAGAAGGAAAAGGGAAGAACAAGGCGTATGTAGAGTACATCAAAACTAAATACTTCCTCAGCTTCATTTAGTTGACAGCTTGACACATTTTCTTTAGATATGTTTGCCAATGCATAATTTCAAGTATTAATATCTTCAATTGTTAATAAGCAAAAATTATCAAAATAATAGATATTTAGAAAATAGATTTTGAGACTAATCTAACTAGATCCACATGACTATGTTTTTTGATTTTAAACAATAAATTGCAAAAAAAAAAAAAGAAAAAAAAAGGTTAAAGTAACTTATGTGAATAGTGCTTTAACGTCAAAATGTGTCAACGAAAAAGAAATGGAGAAAGTAGATTATAACTTAATACGGTGTAAAAACGAAAGGAATTCTTGAGCCTTAAAGATTAGATGAGTGGAGCCAGCAGACCAATGCACCTAGTGTGATTAGATATTTACATGAGATGAATTTTTAGAAATTGTCTAACAGAGTACTGGAGTAAAAACATTCAATTTGAATCAGTATTCACTTTTTCACTTCCATGGCATGAGATGACAGGCTTATCTAGAAGGCCAGGAATATAATGGTGTATGAGATCAAAAAACAGATTTGAAGCACATTCCGAAACCATATAGAGCATTAGAGCGTGCAAGCAATCACTATGAAATGATATCACTCATAATAATTTTCTTTTTTACAAGATCCACCATCTGAAGATGATTCATTTAGCTGTAAAAGTAACTTCCACTAAGTGTGAATATGTCGACATAACATTCACAAGTGAGGCAGTAAAACATAGAAGAGAAGGTTTTGTGTAGAACGGACTCACGTGAGACCGGACTCAACAACAAAAATCGATAATATTGTCTTATTCGTGATAAAATTTATCTTATTCCTGATAAAAAATATCTTATTCTTAAGTAAAATAGTCTTATTTCTGATAAAAATTATCTTATTCCTGACTAATAATTTCTAATTCCACACAAATATTTAACCAATTAATATTAATCTAATACCTACAATAAACATCTAATACCTTGCCCATCAGATTCACACCACCTATTGTCAGTGTTCTATTCATCCCCTTGTTCTCCAGTGATGTTTGTATGTGTTTATGTGGATTTGACTCTGTTCTATTCCGGGGTAGAAGGCGGCTAATAGACCGAAACAGCAATGGCCCACGAAATCGTCTTCGAAATCGTCACCGTCAACACAAGACACCATTGAAATTGAGGTCGCTGAAGTTCTATATGGGCTGATAAAGCAATCTCAAGCCCCATAGTAGCAAGACGGTGGGATGATAAATGATTTAGCTAAATTGGATTCTAGATCTGTTCAAGATTCTAAATCAATGGAATTTGTGATGAATTCTCCCTCTTTTACGGACCAAATTGATGGAATTTGTGATGAATTTCTCCCAAAATCGAAACAGGAGAGAGATAATGAAAGTTCCGAAGGTACGCGAATGAATCGGCCCAAAGGTCGAGGATGAAGAAGCAGCAGCATTGTTCTCAAGTCCGAACTAACGTGAGTCCGTTCTACACAAAAGTTTTGCCAACATACAAACCAAACATCCATCTTACCCCTTCCTCACTTAAATGATTTAGGGATAGACATGAATCACATATGACTAGTCACATATACAAATGAAATTATCATCAAGAAAACCATACCCCGCCGTCTCTGCAACCATAGGATCAGAATGCAATGGATTATAATCTCCAGAGAGTCTGTATAGCAATGCCTGCATACCAGCATTGAGGAATATTAGCAATTGTTGTAAATTAATTCAAATTCTATAGAGATTTCATTATCTTAAGTAAGATAAACACCACATGAGTTACATGTACACGTCAAACAAAGATAAGTCTAAGTGTATTAACATTTTATAAGATGGCTTCAGAATATATAAGTGAAACAGGACATGATCAATAAGTCATGTGATTTAACAAAGAATCAACTAGAAGAACAAACCTGAGATGGTCGAGTAACATCCTCAAATGATGCAAAAGGTTGACTTTTGGGGATCTTAATGGCAGGAAGCTGGGTCCCTGAATAATTTGTGAAAGTATAGGGTGGAGAAGACCTTGAAAAACCACCAGCACCTCTAAAATAGATTGTGCTCCTGAACAGTAGAAATTTTAAACCCAGTCATTCATGTAAAAGAAGATTGACATGTACTCCCTCCGTATTTTGTTTAAGTGCCCTAGTTTGACTTTGGCACTATTCACATGCCGTACGCTTTAAGCCTTTAACCAATGTCTCAACGCATAATTTCCAAATATCAACTTTTTATAATTAATACTTATGGATAATTAAAGATATCATTAGTCAAAGTCGTGCATAGGCAAGTGTGCTGGTCAAACTGGGGCACTTAACAAAAAAAAAAAAAACAAACAAACAGAGGGAGTACCATTTAATAAAGCACTAACCTGTTCATGCAAAGTGGTTCCTTAGAATCTTCATCAAAGCTTGTCATTTCTATTTCCAGGATAGCTGCTTTACCTACAAAAAAAAAAGTGCTGCACAGTAAATCAGCTTATCTAAGTGAAAGTCATTTTAGCAGTAAGCTTTGAAAAAATCATCTTCTGTGAGCTGCCCTTTTTTTTCGTCACCCAAAATTGCTTGCTTGCTAATAAATTAATCTCACTCTTTTGTGGAATTAACACTGATCTGAAATTATTTATATTTGCATCAAAATCACCAAACAAGATCAACATTCATAGAGTACCAGGTATCCGTATCTAACTAAGTCGAATTCTTCAACGAAACAAACTTCTCTCTACTTGACATTTATATACTCCCTCCGTCCCTTAATACAATGCCTCTTTTAAGCATTTATTCCTCACATAATAAAGAGAAAGAGGCATTGTATTAAGGGACAGAGGGAGTACTTCGAACTTGACTGCACATTGTCACATAACTATTACAAACTTTTATTGAAAAACAGCCTAAAAGCATATATTTATGTAGTAAAACCGCTTAAATCCTAAACTTTTGGGTGTTAGAATTTGATTTATTAATTAAGTTTACTTGATAATTAAGCGTTTTAGCATTACAATAGCACTACTCTGTAATAATTTAATAGAATTTGATGCTTAGGGAGTTTCAATCTAAAAAAAATTAACATTTGTTATGAGTCAAGGGGTATTTGGTGCATACGTTTACAAATCTCTGGGGTACATGTTCCATTTGAAAGTTTTTAGAGGTACATAGTGCATTTTTCTAAACCTTAGGGATACACAGAACAATTTCCCTTTTTCACCTTATTTCTGAAGATATATAAATACAATTTTGAAAATTAAATCCCAAGATTTTGACTAATAACACTTAACTTCAAATACAAGTTCTCTTGATTTGCAAACCAAAATCAACTAAAGCTCTAGATGCCACTTTGTAACTGTGGATTTTTAGAAATAATGTTCACAAAGGATTTCAAACCTTTATCATGCAACCCAGCAACTCTTGTTGTGTTTCGTATCTGCATAACAAAATAATAGCGAAATTAGCAGCTGCTGCAACTAAACATTCTGAGAACTAAAGAAAGATGTTAATCTTGAGTTCCAAGGACTTGATTTACTGGAGGCGAAATGGAGGGGAAAAGTCAATGCAACAAGATACAGTCCCTAAAAATTTTAGCACATAATACAAATGCATTACAAGGATCCTCGGCCTCAGTTGAGAAACAGGAATTAAATAAATAATGTGATCATCAAGATGGTATCTTTGAGAGTTATACAGACTAGTTTTGGATGGCACTTCTGATGAGAGGCCTTTGTATGTGTGAGAGAGAAAAAAAAATGAGAGGACTTGACTACATTGTCCAAAAATAAGTATATAGGACACCAAGTGTAAGCAGTATAATCATTTAATGCAGCTAAAGAAACCTTATACAACATAAAATGTCTAGCCTAAAGAGTATTTTTATAGCTTGGCATGCTATTCTGAACAGCTTACATAACAATTCAGTAAAATGTCTCTAGTGATGGGCAGTGTATGTTACGTGATGGGGCTGCAGAGTCAACTGTACATCTATTCTCTGCTATGGTGAACATTGTTTAAAGCTGTTAGAGTGCTAGGTCAGTTCTGAGGTTTCAAAAGGAGTTGCAAATCTTGCAATGAGCTGCAAAGACTTGCAAACAAAAGCAACTAAATCAGAAGCCAAAAGGCTTGTTCTTTGAAGGATCAGTTAGCTTGGCAGATCAGAAGGTATTTGCTGGAGCTCTAGTTGACAATGGCATTTTGTTTAGAAATGAAATGTTGAAGGTTTCTTGTAGAAGTTCAGCTGAAATGATGCAGTTGTTTCTGTCGTGATCTGAGGTTCCTGCACATGAAGGGTCTGTCCTTCAACCCTTCCAAGAAGGTGGGGAGTAGGTGACACCGTGACAGTGATACTGACGCAAATTTTGGAAACTAAGCCAAATTGCATGATGTGTAATGGTGTTAGTACTACCTCTCATTGGTAAGTAATAAAGCGTATTTGGCCAAAAAAAAAAAAAAAAACCCTTACACAACTGTTCGATGGAAGTGGCCTGTAAATTTCTATGTATTGTTGTCCATGCAGGAGAAGTCGTGGATCATACCTGAAATGGACCATAAAATACAAAAACTCGATTAGGCTTTCGTCATAACTAAATTTTGAATTGGTGAAATCTTTACCCCTTCTGTTTCTCTTTTATAAGGCATTTAATAATAACAATAACAATAACAATAATAAATAAATAAATAAAGTTGATTAGAAGTCATTCTAAAATGCTATTATAACATTTGGCGCCATCTTGTTACATCAATGTAAAAAATAGATTCATTGTACGATTGCCACGGATTTTTAATATGCTTAAAAGCTGTCAACATACACATATCATGAACATTTGCTTTAACTTATCGTTAACAATTTAACTATCCTAGATGTATCATGCACACGTAGTCCTTTTAGAGTTCCAACGTAAATGTATTGTATTAAACCTCACATGCATGGTCATTAATCTCATAATAATATAAAGATTTTATGACATAATAAGAAAAAGGCACTAAAGTTGTTGTCACACAACCATTTAAGCAGGATTTCAAAATATTATCTCTATAATGTAAGCCAAGAGCTGCACAAATGGAGTCCACATGAAAGGTCAATTTTGTCTCTCATTATTTCACCAAAATTTTCATCTTACAATACCAACTTCCCTTTAAAAAGTAAGTGTCAATTCATTTCGTGCACAAAGTCAAAGATATGCAATCAATAAAACAAACTCATGCTAATATGAGAATTTAAAAGACTACCAATACCACAAATGCAAAAGGCCCTTTTCATGCATGCAATAGATGAATAGAAACGAAAGGAGTATAACCCGCCAATGGATCACAAATTGACCAACAACAATACAATAACAAATATACACTTCCTCTGTTCCAAATTGGTTGACACGTAATCCCTTTTGGAAGCTTTTTTAATCGACACATTTCAATTTTGGTATTTTTGTAAGGTTAAATGTCAAATTTACCTGACTAGTGACTACTCTTCTCTATAGTCTCTCTCCTCTCCTCCCTCAAACAAGCCACCACCATGGGATTTTCTCACTATATCTACCAACACCCAAATTTTTCTCTCCTCCATCCAACCACCACTATTGTCGGTGTTCTCTCTCCTCCCTCCAACAACCAGTGCTAGCTATCTCTGTTGTTCTCGTTGCCTACTTCTAACTCCACCTCCATTGCCAAATTCTTTACTCTTTCACCAACATACCCTCGCCACCTAGTCTTTCCTCCCTTTCTTCCTTTCTCTCTCTAACCTATGTATATAAGTTTTCCATCTCCAGTTCCTCTTTCAATTTTATGGATCTCTTCCTTAATATTCTTTCTTGTTGGCGTGAATCTAATGGTGGAGAAGCAATAATGGTGAGTTGCAACGAGTGCCGTGTTTGAAATAGAAGACAAGGGTTTTGATGTTGTAACTAAATTGAATAGAGGATGATGGTTGATGTTTCAGCAAGAGGCAATGTGTGACAGTGGTGAGGGCCTGATGGCCTGCATGGTTGAAGGCAGTTGACGACTTGACGGGTGTGGACCGGTAATAGAGATGGAGACAATAAGGAAAGCAAGAAGATAGGGTTAAGTCAAGGAAGGTGAGGGTTGTGCCATGGTGGTGACTGCCTGACTGGTAATCTGTTGATGAAGGAGAAGGGTAGGTGGGTTAGAGGCAAGGGTGGGTAATTATGTAAGGGTATTTTTGTACTTTACTTCACACTCTCACCCTTCTTAATTTGTGTACCTAAATGAAGTGTGTCAATTAATATGAAACAGAGGAAGTATGTCTCCCTGGTTATGAGGTATAATTAAAACATATGACGTAAATTAAAAAGAATAAAACACTCACTCCATTCCTGGAATATTGAAAAGATTAGTATCAGCACTTAAAGATAATATAGCTGCAAAAGTAGGCAAGACCTGCACGATTGTCAATAAAGAAATTCAATGTTACTGCATCTGTTTCTATTTATCAGCTGCAATTTAATAGTTACAGAAAATATGATCTAGATTAACCAAAGAAACAAGTCAAATCAATGAAACAAGATTTCTACCCTCAATCACTACACCACTCCCAAAAATTTAAAAAAAAATAAAAATTCAGCAACATTTATAACCAAAAAAATGAGAAAAAAGTTACTCATTGGAAGCCAACAGAACACTGTTACTGAAGTGGAACAATCACTAGTACAAGAAACAAATTTCTTGTAGGAGCTCATTTTGCTTGAAGGATTGAATTTTTCACATTATACTACTACTTCAATCCTACTTTAGTTTGTCGCAAAATTATTAATCACCTTCCCTAACAAAATACAAATTTTTGTAATGTGCATATCAATTGGGATTAGGGGAAGAACCGAAGAAAGAAAGAGCTTGATGTAGAAAGGGGAACACTTGTTTTTTAGAATAGCTTTACTTTCTTCATACGTCCTAGCATCAACAGAAATCTTTGCAACCACAAGATATCAATTGAATTTGAAATCACATCATCAAAAGCCCCAAAAAGGCGAGTGCCTTGTGCATTAGGTTGTTGAATCTGTATCTTCACTCTTTAAAGAGGAAATGATACTCTTTAGGCAAATCCTGTCTTGTGAAAAACCACTCCAAATTAATCAGATTTTCCTTGACATTTTGACAGTATGTTATGCAGCAAAAAAATCTGATTTATAGCCGTATAGGCTGTATATGCCTAAGAAAGCATATTATTGGAAAAAATAATTCTAGGAAGTTCAACTATAATCCTATATTCTTATATCATTAACTAAAAATGAAATACATGATAATAAACATTGAAAAAGGTAGCAACAACTAGTGAAATAAATCGAACAAAAGTCATGCAGGAAAAAGGAATTATCAGTACCTTGATGAATTGTTGACCATCACCATGGTAAACATACTTCAGTTCATTGGCATCAACTGCGTTAGTCCCACATGCTCCGACACCAAGAGCATATAAAGCTGCATCTCTGTATTCAAAGAAACATTCCAACTACTGTGAAATGGAAGCCAAAAGACATATTCTGTAATACATCAACCCAGAACACCCATTGTGCACACCTACAGTAGAAGAAAGCAGCAACAAACCACAAGCAACTCACAACAACAACAAGCACAAGACAACTAAATCAGAGCAGAGTTACTTTTTAGTGGCTCTATTTTGGCAGCAAATGGAAGAAGACAAAAGTAATTGTTATTAGCAACTAAGGCTTAGTCACATGTGTAGCATGGTAGCAAGTTAAATAGCAAGAAATAGGGAGAAAAACATTCATTCAAAAAGTTGTATTAGTTTAGCCATAGTAGCTTAGTTGTAACCTTCAAAGCCTTTTAGCTATATCAATTAACAGTCAACCTTCTTCCTTACCTTTCATCTACTTTCTTATCTAAATTACCAACTTGAGTACGCAGTCCGTTGCATATTCAACATACTTAAAGCATATGCCACTCTTATACTAAGATGGAGAATAATAATCTTTTTTATCTAGATAGAAAATAAGTAATGCTAATTAGTTATAAGTGAGAATACTCCAATTTAAGAAGACCCGCACAGCTTTAAGAAAGACTAATGCAAACATCTTATGTGTAATCATGGCAAATACAACTTTAAACTAGGCCATATAATATACTATGAAAAATGGAAATAAATAATTCCACCTTTACTCGGTATTCCCAAAACAATCCCACCTTTTGATTATTCCAAATCAAGACATAGTTCTTCTTTTAACAATCCCTAATCGGTTTTCTTAGATTGGTAATCTGTTAGAGGAAGTAACTTGATACGTGTCATTTTTTAATTAAGTTTTATTTATTTATTTATTTTTATTATTATTAACAACCCCTTCCCTTCACTCCTCTTGCCGTTTCACCTCCATCACACCACCATTGCCAATTTGCCACTGCCATCACTACCTTCTCCCTCCTTTTCACCCTCATCATAATATCACCGCCATCGTCTCAATCCTCATCCCTTTTTCTCTTAACCCTCGCGCTCATAGCAACCTCTTTGCGAAAATTGTCAAAAATTAAGCATATGGGGGTCGGGTTGATCTAGATTTACAACGACCATACTCAAATTTGACCTCCATTACCTTAATTTTGTAACAAAGTACCAGGTTTAATTGGCTATGGTGGAACCAACGAATTTTATTTTTTTTCGGTGTGTCGGATTCATGGGTGGGAAGGGTGCGTGGGGATGGTTATCAGGTTATGGTTGTTCAAGGGTTTCGGGGTGAGTAAAATTTCGCGGCGACAAGAATGGAGCTAGGGGTTTTCAGTTCGCTCTTTGATCTTTTATATAACGCTAATTTCTCTTCTTCCATAGATGCTTCAACTTATGAGCAATATTAACAATGGAAGTTGTTCTGAGAAGATAGAGATGGGACTGAGGGACAAAAGAGGAGCTGATTAGGTTTTGCAATTTTTTTATGGTGGTGGACTAGTGGTGGGCATGGTGGGAGGAGAGACTTAGAGAAAAAAAAAAAAAAACAACTTATTTAACATGTAGGTGAAAGGGATTGTTAAAAGAAGATCCCTATCAAAGGTGGGATTGTTTTGGAATGATCGAAAGGTGGAATTGTTTAGGGAAGAACGAGCGTGGGATTATTTATTTCCATTTTTCCTGAAATATAATGTGACGCAAACACACAACAGTTGAATCTTTACTGCCCATCTCCTTAGAAAACTACCTGGTTGAGTGGTTCCCTGTCGTTCTCTTTCTAAAACTACAGAAATAACACTAGAAAGAGATATTACTCATCCCCACAAAGACAACCTTATAAATTGTCTGTCTTGAAAATTCCAGCCATCCATTCACAACAACCAATGGTTTGCCAAAGGCAAAAGATGAGCTATAATGGGACCTTAAGAGACCAAGACCAGCCTTTGAGAAACATTCAATCCACCAAACAAGCTCAACCCAACATATAAAAAAATACAAAGGAAAAGTATGCAAAGTTGTGTTGTGTCATGTGTGTAGTCTCACAAAAAGGACCAATAATTAGTACTTGGCCTAAAATTGACTACTTGCTTTGGAAACTAAATAAATTTGAAAACAAAAAATTCCACGCACAAACAAATTCCCAAGAATCCAATAAGAAAAGTTTAAAAATAAATTAAAAAAAAATTATTTTAAAAAAAAATCCTAAAGAAATTAGGGCACTATTTTTTTAGTAAGTTTTAGTCATTTTGCCTTTCTTTCTTGCAAAACAAAAGTTATAAAGTCTACAGACATTAAGCAATTGATTATAAAGTTTACAATATTTTAAATTTGATACTCCCTCGGTCCCTCCTTCCCATATTGTTTTTCCCATTTTTCATTTTGTGACACCCAAAATAATCTTCCCATTTTTTCCCCTTTTATAGGACACTATCAAAAGACCAAATTTCCTTTTCTTTTTTTTTTTATTTTTTTATTTTTTTATTTTTTAATTCACTCAACTACCTATGGAATTAAGGCTTATGGGATTGAGGTTTTGATTGATTGATTCACTCAACTCACTATGATACCCTTATATTTTCCCTAAATATATGTGTAACCACTCATGTACATGTACTCTTTGCTTTTTCATGCACTTATTATTTGTGCCCCACTCACATTTAGTGTATTTTTCTCTATTTTTAATGCACTCCATGTACTTCCTCCTCCCCTTTCTTGATTCCTGTAAAATTTTCAGTGGGAAAAACAATATGGTACAGAGGGAGTATATTTTAATTTCCATAGAAATATTAATTGTATAGATTTAATAAATTTAACTCTAAGTGATTAGAAGTAATAATAAAGCCCCTGTAAGATAGAGTTCTAGCTTCATCCCTAAAAGAATGTCGGCAACCTTTTCATCTCAAAAAATATCTAATGCACCTGCAAATGCTCCATATGAGACCATAAACAAATCCAATTAACCGCCATGATAGCAACTTGTATTCTAAGAATCTGACACCAATGTACAATATCAAAACAATAAAGCTTCCAAACTCCTCACCACCAAAACATGGAGTGGACATAAGGAAAAAGACACTTATTGGGTTTGCATCAGCAGTGTTTACTGTCGATTTTATCCAAACATGCAGCCCGGATAAATACCTAGTAAATACCTGAATCAAATAATCATAATTTTGACAAAACCTCAGTCCAAGATCTGCTTAAACATTACAATCTACTATACGATACATTAAAGGTGGAGTGAGGATATGAGTTCCAATAAGCTTTCCTCCGTGAGCTATGTTAGAAAAGACATAATATTGAGGGAAACTACAGAAAAAAGACTAAAAGATGAAGAATGATATGCCTACCCAAAGTAAAACAATCCCTATCCGCATCAAGAAGCTTCAAATTTTTTCCATCACTAGGTCCCAAAGGGAGTCTATTTCTCTCAGCAAACAAGATGCCAAAATTAGTGAGTTACATATAGATCCTAAACCTAGCAGGAAGCGAGATAGATATCAGGTCACAGACCTAAAAACTTAGAAAAATGACACAAAATGAGTAAGAAAATAAGATACCTAATTGATCCCACTTATCAAGGACAACCTTATATTGATCTTGATGCCTAAAACCGCTAAACACCCGAAGAGAAGTAAATATCCTTATTCATGAAAAGCTGTTCCACTAGAAAATCCTCTTACTTGTAAGTAATTTTAAGAGGGATCCAATATGCAGCCCAAGCCTACATACAATATTCTTGTTACACCATATCCTGATAGCAATTACTCTCCCATTTATAGCAATTTTGACCCAAGCCTGTCCAAACATTCCCCACAGAGTCAACCATCAATAATTTTCTAGCATATCCAAAAGAATTTGATTGCTCAGAAGCACAGGTAAATAATCCATAGTTACTACATTGGTATCCACTCAACATAGCAGACTCATGGTGATCCAGCATGACAAGACTAAGATTAACATGACACAGGAAACAAAAGACTCAAAACTAATCTCGACACAGCTACCATTGGCTTCAAGGCCAACAGTGAAGACTAACTTCCTACAAGAACCATCCAAAGAAATTATTTCAGTGGAAATATGGTTGTAGCTTTTATTACTATGTGCACAAGATAAGAATCCATTTGCCACTCTTAAACATTTCCACCCACTCCAGAATCCAGATCATCCTTGGGCCATAGTCTTCTATAATTCTTAGTCCTCCAACATTTTTCCAAAAGTCTGAACAGAGAAGCAAATTTCTTTTTTTTTTTTTTTTTAATCCATAAATAATTAGATCTCACAAAAACACAAACAGCATCATGAGTGGTAAAGTGAGCTAAATAAATCTTTAAAACAAGTAAAATTCCATCTTATCATCTGTGAATACCAACAGATTAACACGCAGATCAAGGAAAGAGAAAAGTAACTTTTTAACAGATAGATTGTAACAGAAGGGTAAAAGTTAATGAGCATTCGAGAGGCTCAATTCTATCCCAAACAACCAGATAACTCTCTGAATGTATCCCCTCTCTGCATCTTATCCTTTAAGTTATACTACAGCAAATTCCACACAATCTATCAAATCCCTGATTATACTCCTAATTATTTTCTACCAAATCCCCTGGTTTTTCTCCAAATCATTCTCTATCAAATGATTCAAATCCCTGGTTTATTCCCAGCTTTCCCTGATTTGCCCTTATCAGTACGCCTTGCATATGTCAACCTGACAGTGGCCTTAGGCAGGTACATAACACCATCACAATGTAGAAAAGAAATTATCTAAAAGGAGGCAATCCATCAAACAAAAAAAAAACTTGTTTTGTACTCCCTCTGCTCTTAAATACCATCATTCTTACATGGATCTGTTAAAGTTTGATTGTGGATTCGTGGATAGTAGGAGACTATCATAAAAGGCAATAACTTTCAACAATTCATTGACAATGCCAACTCCCTTCGGATTCCACAGCTAATTTACTACACACTAGAAAGAATGAACTCGGGATGGAAGCATGTTAACTCTGTTGATAATAAGTTCTTTTTTTATTTATCTAAAAATATTAGTTTTTGGTCTACAAAATTCTGTGAAAGGATAATTTCTCGACACATGAAAAAATTTGACAGAATAAGGAACAAAGAGAAAATAGGGGCATAAAAGTTAAAAGTACCTCTCAGAATACTGATATTTCGTCTGCAAGCAGCATCATCATTAGTCACATGTATCATCAATTCAGAACAAAATGACAAGTCAGACAACATAAGGTAAGTAAATAATAGATAATCGAGTTGTTACATTCACCTAACAAATGGATGGTTTATATGAGTAACAGCTTGTTTAATGTTTAAGTCACATAAGATAGACATCGACTACTGAATCCATGAAAGTCAAAAAGTCATGTTAAAAACATGTTGTAAATTAAAAAAAGTAAAAGATAGGTTGATACCCCCTGTAGTGCACATATAAATCGTCTCACATTGAACTATTAAAGAAGATGTGAAATATTAACCACTTCGTAAGCTTGGAAAGCTACTCTATCGATTTCCAATTGGTTTTGGAATAAAACCTCTTTTGGGCTTGTAGGTGGTAAACTCCCCTAGATAGTTAAAACTTATTTTTAATATTATTTTAAATTTAACATGATACCATAGCCCATGTTGGCCCCTTCTAGATCTAGATCAAGGAACTGGATAAGAATTTGACTTTATTGAATGTCCAAATAAGAGGATCATAGTTAATTATCTTTCCGGTGCGCTCTAGATTCTAAGGGCCCTCACGTGTGAAGGGGAATATTTGAATTTCCATGTTGTGCACATGCTAGTTGTCCAACATCAAAGACGAAAGGAATATATAAGCTTAAGGAACAACTCCTCCTATCCTCATTCATATCTACTACTTTTTGGCAAAAATCTATCATACAAGATGATATCCTATAGTGGCGATTTTGGAAAATAGACATTGTAAATAAAGGGAATGTAATTCGACAAAGCGCTACTTGCCAACATGAGAAGAAAATAGTCTATCTTTTCCTTAAATTTTTCACTTAGATATATTGAACACAAGTTCAAAAAGTTCTTCCATTTTACTCCCTTCAATCCTTTTTGTTCTTCTCATTTGGAATTGAAGTTCAAAAAGTTCTTTCCATTTTAGTCCCTCCAATCCTTTTTGTTCTTCTCATTTGGAATTGTGAAGTAAATTAAGAAAAGTGAATCCTATGAGTGAGAAACAATTAAAGTAATAGAATTCTAACTTCACATTAAATAGTCCTACCTTTTAAAACAAAAGAAAAATGTAAAAGGACAAGGTAATTTATGTGGTGTTAGAAAAGAGAGAATAAAGACAAAAATTCAAAATCATGCATGGGGAAATTCAATTAATGCAAAATGGTACTCTCTCCGACCCTTAATTAGATGCTTACTATTCTTTATTATGTGAGTAATAAATGTTAGAAAAAAGCATCTAATAAAGGAACACAGGGAGTATAAAAATTGTACGAAAAGAAATAAAGTACTAACTTTTGGCACATTCACCAAATATATAAAGGAAAACTGTAGGAAATTTTTTACCATATATGGAAAGATTCCGAATAGGAAAAACATTCTCAAGCTTCTTAAATGAAAAGAACAAATAGGATAAGAGCAACTCCAATGGTTGTAGTTAGGGACTTGCTTGCAATATTAAATAATTCCTAGCTACTAGCTTGACCACTGGAGCTAGAAAATGCAATTAGCTTGGCTAAGCTAATTTGCTTGAAAAACAAAAAAAATTATCAAGATTTTTAAAAGAGAGATTAAATAAAATGAAATATAAAAAGTTAATTAAGGAAGTGGAATTCTTTTAAATTGTAAGCTAATAGCTAGTTATTAAAGTTCAAAATAGCTAAAATGACAATTAGCTTAAAAGCTTATGTTGCATGCCAAACTAATTGTCTCATTGGAGTTAATTTAAAGGAAGTAGAATTTTCCATATACGGTTAAAAATCACTATTTAATTTTCCTTTATTTATTTAATAATGTGCCAATATTTATTACTATTTCCCTTTTCCATAAGATATTTTTACAATTTTTCACTAATTGAATTTTCCCATGCATGATTTCAATTTTTTATATCATTCACTCTTTCCAAACACCACATTAATTACTTCTCGTATTTTTTTTTAGATACATCACTTTCCTTAATAATTAATAAATATTCTCTGTCTCTATTTTGCATAGGAGTCCATAATATCAAAAGTGATGTATAAAAAAATGGAGGAAGTTTTTAAAATAGGAAGAATCCCTATTATTTTAATAATTTTCACTCATCAATATTTACTTTTCGTAAGTTATTTCCAATTTCAAATGAAAAATTAAGATATAATGAGTCTACATGATAAGATGAATCTAACAAGGACCATCAAAATATTTTTTTTCCTTAGGATTAAATTATAGTTGCACCATTCCTCCCAACTCCCTCTTTCTCTCTCCTCTCCAACATTCATTCTCCATCTCCTTCATCCAACATCAATTTTATGAGATAATACCAAAATTCTTTGACTTTTCTTCTACCAACAATATCATTGAATTAAACAATTCCGGAATTAAATTAGAAACATAATTCACCAAACGCAAGAATTAGATTTGAAATTCGTCAATTATAATGCCAAAATAGAATTCCAGTAAATTCCCAAAGAACGCAATTTTACGTTACTAGTATAATCAAAATAAAATTCATCGTATAAACAATAAAATTAATCATAAATTCAACACATTAACAAAGAGGAAAAATTGATTGCAACAAAATTATAAACATAAGAGTGGAATAAAGGATGAAATTACCTCAGGAAATTTGTGCGCAAGGACGAGCTCAGGATTGATCATTATATTCATACCTCGAAAACTAATTGAATAATAGAAATCTATATAATTTGATTGAAAAATTGAATAAATTAAGAAATGAAATAAGTAACTGATTGAATGATAAAAAATGGAAATGTAACGTACTTACCCAAATTAATTACGTTGAAACAGATGTCTCTTCTCTACCTAATGACTTAAAGTGAGTAATGACTAATGAAGTAATGAGTGATGAAGTGAGAGCAGATTATATGGCGAAAGCCCAAAAGTCACACCCCCGACCCACGCTGCTGAAGCGGTCCTATACTCCTATATCAATAAAGGACATGATTTTTAATTATATACTAGTGTGTGTCCCGGGCGATGCCCCGCCCAAATTGCTAGTTTGTACTTCTTTAACTTGATAATTATGTTCAAGTGTTGTATAGCTAGTGTGTGATTTGGGCGTTGTCCCGGACGTTACGATTTTTTTTACTACATATGTATTTATTTTCTAATCTTGTGAAAAATAAATAAATTAAATAAACTCTAATTTAAAAGGAATATATAATGTTAAATATGCAAAATTTAAAACACAAATAAAAGTTGGTGGAGATGGTAAGTGTGTAGCATTTATTTGTGTGAGGTTGAGGGTTCGATTCTTAATAAAACCATATTTTATTAATTTTGTTAAATGAAGTCGCAAGCTTACGTGTTGCTGACGTGGCATTATGACATGTTGTCATATACGTTGAAGAGTGCCACGTGGCACCGTTCCTTTAAAAGGAACGCCTTTTAATATATAGTATAGATTTTGGGCACTTCATTCATAATTAAGATTTGATGGTAGGAAACTGGGGATGTCGGATCATGCACCGTAACCTCCGCAACCGTAACCGCCCACCACCTTTGTTGGGTGCATGAAAGGCTAAAATCGTATCACCTAATCAAAAGTAATTCCTAAATCCTCTAACTAATGTAGATAAAGAAGTAGGGTCGAATCCACAGAGAAACGAGTCTTTCGATTCCTAATTAATTAAAATAATCTAGATTATAAAGTAACCAAAATATTATAATCAAAGGAAATAAAACTACTAAGAGTAAAAGTAGGAAAGAATAAAAGTAGGAGGAAAAACAATGAATAAAAGGCCTATGGCATAGGTTCACCAATAAATAATATTCCAAGGTAAAACATAATAATCAATCATCAATGCATACATTAATCAGATCATAAAGGGTTTTCGCTATGTATTACAATCACACAATTAATTTACTGGTATTCAATCTCATATCTCGAATTTCGATTTAACCATTTATAAATTAACCTGCCTATTGAAACTAGACCTAAACATCAATTCTCATATGTCGAATTTCGAATCAATATTGTTAAACTCATGCATAAAAGATCTGCGCAAATCTAGTCACAGAGCATTAAATCAATCAATAGGAAATTAATCTAGCATTGATAATCAACAACAATAAATTACCCTTTCATATTATTTATGGATCCCCACAAACCCTAGAAATAAAACTACTCACACATAATTAAATCTAAACAAATCAAAGTAATAAAACAAGACATGATCAAAAGAATGAAATAAATAACTAATATCAAGAGAAGAGAAATCGTTACCAAATAAATCTGGAATTAAGAATAGAGTTAAGAACAAAATATATGAGAGAGAAACTAATCTAAAGCTAAGTAAAGAGAGAAAATCTAAGAAATAATTAAGGAAGAGTAGTAGTAGGTACTAAACTAACGGAAAACTATTTATACTAAGTAAGAATCCTAAACTAAAACAAACTTAAACGTCGAATAATTAACATCTAATAATAACACGCGCTCGATCGGGCGAGGCACCGCCCGATCGGGCGCACCTTTTCTCCATCAGGTACATTTCTCGCGCCCGGCCGGGTGCGACTTCGGGCGACAGCCTTGCTTCCCTCGCCCGGCCGGGCGCGCCTCCGGGCGCCAGCCTCTTTGGTCGGGTGGCACTCTTGGGCCACTATTTGGACTACGATTGGGCTCCAATTCTTCGGGTCAATCTGGATTTCCTCTTCGGGTCTTGAATACTTGGTCCAAATACCCCGGTATCACATATACCGAGCCCTTAATCACCGGTTCGATGGCTCTAACCGGCTCTGGGCTATAGAAACTGGTCGTGCTTCTCCAATGCTCGTAATTGCTCCATAATATCTCGGGAAAATGCTCCAAACGTGCAAATCCCTACAAAAGTCAACCAAATCTACGGAAACACTAGAAAACACCAATTAGTAATAAAAGTGGCTCTAAAGAGCCAAAAACACTACTAATGATGACCAAGGGACAGGGGTAAAATACTATATAAAATAGACACATCAAACTCCCCCAAGCCAAACCTTTGCTTGTCCCTAAGCAAAGATCTCATAAATGAACAAATAAATATGATTCATCCCAAAAAGTAAAAATCAAGCACAAACAATTCAGGGTAACTCAAATAAACATGCTTCAAAATCAACCAATCAAATCCATCTAATTGCCCTTCTTCCCCAACAATTGTCAAATAGAGCAAACCCTAAGAGCATATAGAATTCAAGACTAGTGCTCACACACTCAACTCTCATTTATGTGGCGAGTAAAAGATGTACTTGATCGCTCTCCAACCAACCCCTTTATGTGAACAATGCCCTCCCAACTCACACTCTCGTGTGTATAAAAAGATGTACGCTCAACCTACTAGTCGACTCGAAATATGTCAAATCATAACTTGCATTGATAAACAACACTTTCACATTCATACAACTCTATGCACAAAGGTTGGAAGGTCTTTAAAGCTTGTAATGTCAGGCTAGGGTAAAGGGTAGGAATCATTTGGGAACAAGTGAGAGAAAAACTATGCTTAAGGGAGCAAATCCTAGTAAAACCCATGATCAAAATAAATAATGATCAACATCTCCTACATAACTCAACTCTGGCAAAAATCCACCAAATACAAATCCAAACAAATTAAATAATCCCAACTCTTACAATTTCACTCATAAGATAATAATGAAGAAGTGGAGTGAATAAACAAACTTTATTTCCAAACTTGAATTTTTCATTGAAGCTCAATTTTTTTCTTCCTTTTGATCAACCTCCAACTAGAACATTTGAACATTGAACCATTTTTTTTCTTTTGTTTTTTTTTTCTATTGAAGTTCACTCTTTTTTTTTTCTTTATTCTTGAACTTCTCTTTTTTTTCATAACATCATGATTTATTTTTTCAAGAAGATATAACTTTCAAACTCATCAAAAATAAATATGATCGAAAACAAAATAACTTCTCAAAACCCACCCAAATTGTCAAGGCAACAACATGGGTAGCAAGAAGGGAACAAATGTATCTACAATCATCTGGAGGCTACCTAAAAGAATGAACGCCTTCGTCCTCCTCAATGTGCATAAAAATGAATCATATAAACATTGCTTATAGTCGCAAATCAATACTCAAATTCATTGACATACCAGGAACTATCACACATTCCTAACCAAATCAACTAGTCAAGCACTATATTCACAAATAGTTGGCAAAATTGACTCATGTTAAGGTTTCAAGACAATCGATCAAACATCAAATCATGATCAACTAATCCACAATGCTTATCATCATATAACAAGAATCAAAACAATATTTTTCAAGTATGGGGCACAGGGAAGCATGATTTACAATTCATTGGAACGTATTTTTGGATTTTTTTTTCAATTTTTTTCATATATAAAAAAGCAATAAAACTAACCTAGAAAACAATAAATCTAAACTAAGAAAACACACCAAAAATAAAAGAAAAGAGAAAAAGAAAGATACCAAATCCAAAATCTCCCCCAAGCCAGAATTAGACAATGTCCTCATTGGCTCGGGAACTAGCCCAGCATAGCTAGTCCTCATCATCCTCATCCATGGAGCCGAAACCTCCACCTCCACTGCCACCTGCACCAGAAGAGCTACCACCAAAATAATCAGCATGAACCCCCCCCCCCCCCCCCCCCGCTGGTCCCCCGAAAGGAATGTCCTAGCCGTACCCATGAAAGGCAGAATAGTCAGTATAAATGCCATGGGCAGTGGGATCCCTATCATATCCCTGGGGTGGAGGCTAAAACCAGTCAGGGTAGATAGCATCGTCAGGAATGTTGCCCCGACGAGCATAATCATCGTACATAGGGTAGAGAGCTCTACCCTGGTTTCTCTCCAGGTAGCCTAGCCTCTGGTCAATGGAACCTACCATCCTCCTAAGGTCAGTGTGGGAATGCTCGATACGTCGTAAAGCCTGACCTATACTCTGAAGGTCCCAAACTGGGTCAGAGTCAACATGGGGGACGGAGTGAGACATGCAAGGTGCAAAAAATGCTACCTCGAGCTCAGGCTAGGGTGGCGGAACTGGTGGTGGTTGACAGGGTAAAGTCGTATCCCCTAATAAAAAATAATTACCTAAATCACTAACTAAGGTAGATAGGGAAGTAGGGTCGATCTCTACAGGGAAACAAGTCTTTTTACTCCTAATTAATTATTATAATCTAAATTATTTAAGTAACCAATATTTATAATTAAGTATGAAACTAAACTACAAAGAATAAGAGTAGGGAGAAAACGATATATAAAGGGATCTAGGGTATAGGTTCACCAATAAATAATACTCCAGGGTAAAACATAGTAATCAATTATTGACATTGCATAAATAACATGATTAATAGGCTCTCGCAATTTATTAATCAACATAGATCTAACAGGCTCTCGCGATTTACTATATCTAAGTCCTTATTGAAAATAGCCTTTAATATCAAATTAACATTTGCTCGATTCATCAGTTTAATATTGCTATACTTTTACAAGCCGCAATTGTAAAACATTAAAACAATCCAATAAGAAATTATCATGCAATACCAATAATCAATAATAGTCAATCATCAATGCATCAATTAACCAGATTGTAAAGGGCTCTCGCTACTTATTACAATCACACAATTAATTTACCGGTATTAAATCTCATCTCTCGAATCTTGACTTAACCATTTATAAATTAACTTGCCTATTGAAACTAGACCTAAACATTAATTCTCATCTCTCGATTCTTGAATCAATATTGTCAAACTCATGCATAAAAGATAGGCCTAATCTAGTCACAGAGCATTAATCCAATCAATAGGAAATTAATCTAACATTGATAATCAACAACAACAAATTACCCCTTCATATTATTTATTAGATCCCCATAAACCCTAGAAATTAAACTACTCACACATATTAAAAATTAAACTAATCAAAGTAATAAAATAAATCATGATGAAAGGAATAAAATAAATAACT